CAATATATTTTTTTGTCAAATTTTAGAAATATGTTGAAAGATCAATAAAAATATAATAAAAAATACAAAATTGTAGTTAATTTTAAAGATGAAACAAAACTGATTAGGAATCACCTATTTTTGAAAGCTTCACATGAGAATATACCCTTATATAGTAAAATATACAAAACATCATTTACAAACTCTGTTTAGCATTACAAGATACAGGTATAAAAAGATGTCAAACAAGTAATACATTGATACGTTCGTTAGTAACATTACGTATATAGGGTGTAACAGAACTTGTAGTTACAAATTATATTGCGCTATCCTTGTTAAAAAAGGAGTTGAAAAGTCCTATACTATTTTTTCCCCATAATGCAAAAATTTCCTGTAATAACTAAATCAAGCACTACTAATCAATTGCTTCCCGTTTGGGAACATGATTGATTAGCTGTGTATCACTCTGTTATTACAGAAAATTTATGCACTAAAGGAAAAAATACTACAGGACTTTTGGAGTCCTTTTCCAACAAGGATAGCACTGTATTATTCGTGACTACGAATTCCATTACACCCTATATGTGTCATCCCGATTCTCTTCTGAGAGCATGGCATCACATATTTATAACAGCTTTGATTACAGCAATAAAAATATGAGCTATAAAAGCTACCTTTTCAATCGGACCATGATAGAAAACATTAATCTATAAAATGAAAACTAATTACATATAAAGTTTAGTCTTATACATACCACGACTAATAGCTTTTCGACGGTAGAACAAATCATAAATGTAGCGCGATTTTTGATGATGAATCTTGAAGATTGGCCACAAAGATTCCTGCTTACGCTTTCCTTCGTGTGGTTCGGTCTCCGCTATATACAAAAATGATATTAATAGCGATCGTTCTTTTCAATTGAACTTACTATTAATCATTTACTTAATAACTGGTAGGTAAAAATTCGAATAAATCCTAGTTATAAAAAATTGAAGGAATAGTTTTCACAGACACATTACTGATATTATCTGTACAGGATGACAACAGCTTGTCAGACAGAAATTATACCTTCGCGCATTTTTTGCTCCAATTCTTCCAAAGTAGGTTCAATCAATTCCCATCCATCAGGTGGTGATTTTTTACTTCTTCGTACTTTCGGCATTTTATGTTTAATTTACTCGCACAGCATCAATTTATAACATTAGATAAGTTGGAAAATTGCTTTGACCAAAGAAAAGATGAGAGTAGCCACAACTCCTACTTCGCTACTATTGCAAGGTATACTGGACTCCATCGATGGCTTGCACCTCGTCCGCACTGCCCTCTCCGACCGCGCAGCGAACCAGTGGCGGGAGAAGCGCGGAATTCGAATCGCTCGAGGGGCAGAATGGATTTCCTAAAGAAAATAAATATTTATAAACAAAAACAATTAATGAAAATTATTTTAGTATTACT